GTTCCAATTAATTATTAATTGGTTTTTTATATCTTTGCGATATAAAAAAAATATAGATATATAATATTTAAAATATTTTCTTTAATTTTTAATGTTTCCTTTAATTTTCTTTTAAAATAGTAAGTTTAAATACTTGTAATAGAGATAAAACACGATTTTAAGTAGTTAGAGTCGATTTTGGTCAGACGGGTAATTTTTCTCAAGAAAGGAAAATATTTAACAGAAATAATACTAAATAAAAAGTATATTAAGTATCAGTTTTTTTTTGTAGACAATACTCGGAATAAATACCAACATGACTTTAAAAGTAGTAAAAAGTCGATTATGGTCAGACGGTTAATTTTTTTCAAAAAAAAAATTTTTTTTCATTAAAATACAGAATACAGATTAATACAGAATAAAAAATTTTGTAATAGGCATAATTTTTATTGTTCACGATACTCGGATTTAATATAAACCTGACTTTAAGTAGTTACAGTCGATTATGGTCAGACGGTTAAGTTTTTCCAAACAAAAATTTTTAATTAAAAAAATATGGAACAACAAATTTAGTAATAGGCATAATTTTTATTGTTGACGATACTCGGATTTAATACCAACATGACTTTAAAAGTAGTAAAAAGTCGATTATGGTCAGACGGTTAATTTTTTCCCTAAAAATGTTTAATGAAAATAATATGGAATATAAAATTTATAAATAGGCATAATTTTTATTGTTTACGATACTCGGGATAAATAACAAACATGATAAGTAGTTACAGTCGATTTTGGTCAGACGGTAGAAATTAATAGTTAACGGCGATTTATCTATTACTATATACGTCTGACAAAAATCGACCATAACTACTGAAACTCCTTTTTTATATTAACTGAATCGCATATTAGTCTATATCATTTAACTATTAATTCATAGTAATAACAATCAAGTGATAAATTATTTACGAAAGATTATTTATAAAAAGATTCCATAAGCATGTCTGACTAAAATCGATTTAACTACTTAAAATTTTAGTAAATTTTGTTTCAAATTTTTCTCTATGTTCTTGAATATTAAGTAGAGAATACAAATTTTGTTGTACATTAGTTCAAGTGGTAATAATTCGGAAATTAATTTTTAAGTAGTAGTGGTCGATTTTAGTCGGGCATTGGCAATAATAATTTGGAAATTAATTTTTAAGTAGTAATGATCGATTTTAGTCGGACATTGGTAGAATTTTAGTAAATAATCTTCTTGTAAGTAATTCTCTCAATATTTGTCGGTTTAGATTTATATTGAAAAAGTGGAATATTTATAATAAAAAAAGTCAGTAGTTATGGTCAATTATAATTTGACGTAAAATTTCTAATATTTCGTAATTTTATTTTCAAAAAATATTTCTGCTTTTTCGTAATTGTTAATTAGTTTCAAAAATTTTTGTCGTAAATAACGTCTAGTTGTAATAATTCCAAAATTAGTGTTACGAGTAGAAAAGATCGATTTTAGTCAGACGTGAAAAGAATTTTAGTTAATAATCCCTTGTAGTGAATTTATTATTCGATTTCCATTCCTTTGGACTTGTATATTAAGTTAATTAGCCTAATAATACAAAAACTAAGTAGTTCAGTAGTTACTCTCGATTATAGTCAGACGGACTTTTCTCTCTGGTAATAGAAATTTTTTTCTCTAACAAAGTCGAATTATTTTCTCGAAAGTCAATGAATATCTAAATTGGCAAAATTTTTTGTTCCACAAAATCCAAAAAGTAGAAGTTGTAAGTAGAAAACAGTCGATTTTAGTCAGACGTGTTAGGAAAACTTTTTGCAAAATAAAAGTCTGGTTTAGTTAATTTCAGTAAATTGAAGAAATAGAATATAGAAATACAACGTAAATCGAAAGTAAGTGACAAGAAAGGATAAATTTACTCTACGAGCAACTTAATGTCAAAGTTTGTAATTGTCTGACTAAAATCGATCACTACCACTTTGGTCGAAAGTATCGAAAAATGACAAAATTGTTTTTAGAAAATTTATAAATTAGAAAAAAAAAATTAATTGGAAAATAAATGTTCGATGGAGAAGAAAGTGAATTAATTTTACGTCTGACTAAAATCGATCCTTACTACTTAAACCCCTGTTTTGCATTATTAAACCATTTGATTAAATGTTAGTCTATAGTAATAGAAATTACGTGATAAATTAACTACGATTTATCATTTATAATAAATACGTCTGACTAAGATCTACCATAACTACTTAATTTCCATTTTTGAATAATTAAACCACTTAATTGAATATAAGTAAATTTTAATTAAAAATTAATTCGCAGTGATAATAATAAAGTGATAATTTTACAGCGAAAGAGTATTTATGGAGAGTTTTCATAAACAAGTCTGACTAAAATCGACTGTAACTACTTTAAATACTTTTTGCTTTATTAAACTAATTAAATTATTAACCCATGGTAATGAAAATAAACTGCAAGAAATTTACTACGAAAGTTTATTCAATAAATAGATTTCATAAGCACGTCTGACTAAAATCGACTGTAACTACTTAAACTTTTTTTTCCGTCTTCAATATTACACTGAAAATAAAATTTGTTTGATTTAAATAAACAATTTCTTGTTTGTTATTAAATAAACGTCCTCTATATTTTTACATTCCGTATAGTTTATTAATGAATAAATATTTATTTGTATCAAACAATCTTTTTTTCTGTATATTTTTTTATAAATAAATACTTCCTTGTGGTAAGATTTTATTTAAAGCCAATTGAATACTAATTGCTTCAAAGCTAATTGTTTCAAATTTCTAAATTTTGATGTAAAAAATTTTAAATTGTAAAAATTTGATTTGTTTCAAAGAACAATTTATTAGGATTGAAGGTTAAAAAAAAAATTTTTTTAAGTAAAAATTTATTTGATAATAGACAAGTATTTTTTTCTTAAATAAATTAATTTTTTTCAGTGTTGTATTGTAATTTTTGGTATTAATATTGATAGTGGTATAATTTCAGTGTACCAATTTTAGTACCTATTAATTTATTAGTATACAATTGATTACAATCGTTTATATGAATGCTATAAAAAGAGTTTAAGTAGTTAAAGTCGATTTTAGTCAGACGTGTTCATAATTTTTTTTTCTTTTTGTTGTCTGTCAATCTAAACATAATCTTATTATTATTTTTATTATTAGTTTTTTTTTTTAATTTTCAAATCAAATTTGAAATGTCAATTAAATTAAAATTTAATAAAAAAAATTTTAATTGAAGCAAAAATTGTAGTATTTAAATAACAAATACAAATATTTAATAAAATAAAAATGTAATTGAAGGAAAAATTTTAGTATTTAAATAACAAATACTAAATAGTATTATAATAATTTTTACACAAAGTTTTTCTAAGGATATCAAATTAAGACAAAAAACGAATCAAAATGTTGCTTCGCAACACTTTTGATTCGTTTTTTGTCTCAATTTGATATCCTTAGAAAAACAGTGGCAAGTAGATACAGTCGATTTTAGTCAGACGTTCTTAAAATATTTACATGAATATTCTTTCGTTAGTTTAGTAAAAGTTAGTTGATTCTCAAGACTATATTTTTAAATTGATAGTATTTTGATTTTTAAATGATTGTAGTCTTTATTTTTAAATGATAGTAATCTTTATTTTTAAATGCTAGTAATTTTAATTGATTGTGTTTCCATTTTTTATTGTTAGTTATTTTCATTTTTAATTGCCGGTCTTTTCATTCTCAATTGCCAGTATTTTACGTCGGTGAAGTTCACAACGTTTATGATCAACGATTGAAAGAAAAAAGATTATATTTTCCTACCAAAAAGAATAAAATTATTTGTTCACAAATATTTCGTTTATAAATTATTATTTAAAAAACGAACCAAAAAATTTTCTATACAAAGATTAATAAAAATTTGCTGAAAAAATATTTTTCTTCTGAAATCGTTGATCATAAACGTTGTGAACTTCACCAACGTAGTATTTTCTTTTCTAATTGCCAGTATTTTGATTTTTATTTACTGCTACTTTTTCATTTTTAATCACCATTATTTTTTATATTTATCAATATTTTTAATTGATAGTATTTTTTATATTTGTCAGTATTTTTTTTTTGTTAATTTAGTAATTTTTATATTTATCAGTATTTTTTTTGGTTAATATAGTAATTTTTATATTTGTCAGTATTTTTTTTTTTGGTTAATTTAGTAATTTTTATATAGTGTGTTAATGGTTATAGTAAATTTAAGTGCTTCTCGCCTCCTATGGAATATGGGCTCAAATATGCTAGAGGGGTTATATAGGGACTTTTATATCACCATATATCTCTATATATAATATAAGAAAAGAAAAATAATTTGGCAAGTGTGTGTATAGACCCATTAAGAAAGAAAGTTTTCTTCTTCTTTTTTTTCGGTTATATATATCTATTTTGGAGAGAGGAAAAATATCTTTTTTTGAATGACTGATGAATGCTGTATAGCACACGATATGTATATGTATATATATATATATATATATAAGAAAAGCTCCACGCGGGGACGCCCTGGCGTCGGTCGATGTCGATTTCAACCGTTTGCTGGCGCCAGTGTCGCTCGAAAATAAGCTCGCCCAAAAGCCACCCGAACTGCAGCAGTGGTCTCCCGGCATTATCCGGCGTTACGTCGTTACTCGCTTTTTTATTTTTCTCGATAGACAAAATTTTCCTGTTTCCATTCATGGTGATCACTGACAACGAGCGACTTCCGCCGCAAAACGTTCACGTTCGACGTAAAACATCATCGAATGTTTATGCGTTGAAACAATTCGCGTCAATGAGATTTATAATAATGATGACTTAAATAATAAAATGCCAATGACGAGTGTATGTTTTAAGAGAGATAAAAAAAACGAGTTAACCCTCCGGTCGAGTAGAGTACAAATGTTTACGGCAAAGAGTGTGACCTAGTGATCCCGTCGTGGAGTAGGAGAGAGAGAGAGAGAAAGAGAGTGAGAGAGAGAGAGAGAGTACAAGAGAGGAAACAAGAAAAAAGGTGAAAGAGACTCGAAAAATTACACTGCAAAAGGAAGGAGAAAAGGGCCACGATGAGGGGGCACAGGAAGAGGGCAATATGCCCCGGCGGTTTCCATTCTACTTTATAGGGGGTACAATCATTTTTTTCAGAAAGTTTTTTCTTTCAATTCTTTTCTTTATTTTTCATCACTAACAAAAAGGGATGAATATAAATTTTTTGCTTCCTTGTTGAGAGGAAGTATTATTATCTGAATTGTTTCGTGAAGATTCCTACTGTGTCTTTGAAATTGATGTAACACGTGGTGTACAATAATTTTACTGAAACGAACACGAGTTACGACATTCCTTCTTGATTTGATTTTTTTTTCTATTCTTTATGAGAATGGAATTTATTTTTTTCGAAATTACCTCAATATTACTAGCACTACTATATCGATTTTACATAATTAGTCGAGGACTTTCTTTACTTTTTTTTTTATTGAAATAAGTGATTATTTCTCTCTCTCTAAATCTGAATTAGTTCAAAATAACTAATTATTAGTAAAATCGTGGATGACTTTTTGCTTCAGCAAAATTAGTAAAAAAATAACTAACTATTAGTAGAGAATCACTAATAAATCACTACTATTAGTAGTGCTATTTTGCTTCAGCAAAATTAGTAAAAAATAACTAATTATTAGTAGGGAATCACTAATAAATCACTACTATTAGTAAATAAATAACTAAAAAAAATAGTCAAACTTCACTAATTGAATTAGTAACTACACATTTCAGTCATTTTTACATAACCTAAAAGTGAATTTAACTAATAATTAGTCATTATTAACTATTTCATTAGTAAAATATTACTATTTGTATTAGTGGCTGACTTTTTGCTTTTGAATTAGTAAATTTGACTAATAAATACTAATTTCCAATTTATCAGTAGTAAATTTGAATTAGTAAATTTTACTAATAAATAGTAAGTTCTACTAATTTATTAATGAAATTCACTACCCGTGCAGAAATTTTGACCGGGGCCATGGCACTTTGCCCGATCTGGCCGCCCTGTCGGGACCCGGTCGGGGCCATGGGATTTCCCCCGATCTTTTCGCTACCCAGGTAGAATTCCAATACTGACTGCATTTTATTATATTAAAGCTTGTTATTTGATTATTAAAGAATGGGGAGTATTTACTTCAATATTAATGATTATTATTAATATTTTTGTAGTAAATAAACTTTTATGAGTGTCATTAAAAATGTAAATAGTTATTAGAATTGCTTTTATTGGACTAAGTTTTTAAAAAAAATATTTTTCTTATTTTCTTTCATTAATTTAGACAGACTATCTTATTTAAATTAATAATTATTTATAATTATTATTATTGTTAATAATTATTTAAACCTATACTTTATGTAACATTATTAAGAATTATACACAAAACACTTAAAACTAAGACGGAAAAATATCGCACGCACGGGGGACCGAACCCTAGACCTCGAGGACGCAAGTCGAATACACATACCGCATAGCCACGCAAGCTTGGAAGCGACCTCGCTTAAACTTCCTTTTGAATCATGGGACCGTTATATACAGTGTTATCATAATAAATTGACTGTATCATATTTATTTATAGAAAAATTATTAAAAATGTATGTTATATATATATATATATATATATATATATATATATATATATAAATTAATATGTTTATCATAATAATATGGTAAAAATTGTTAATTTAATTATTTATTCTATATTATTTATAATTTAACTATTTTTTAAAATAATAAAAATTTTTTCATTATTAATAATTCACAATAATACTAAAAATTATTAATTAATAATAATTTATTTTTTTGCCTTAAACATGGAATTTCAATTTAAGTGTGAAAAACAATTAAGAGTTTTTAAGAGTTATAAATGTCAAAAATAATATGTTAATATTATAACCACAAAAAAATTTAACATTTTAGGCAATATTTTTGGTTATCACCATGATAACATCGACAAATGGTTCACCTTCGACAATTGGTGCGTTTGTCCTATTGTTTTAAATTAAAGGAGAATAAATTCTTAAGACATCCCTCGAGGACAATTTTTGAGTTTTTAATTGTTTATAATTTTTATTTTCAAATTTCAATCAAAGTTAACAAATTAACACAATTTTTTAAAAACGGACGTTTATTTTCTTATTCCGTTACTGCACATGCTCTAAATCAGTTCAAATTAATCCAATATTACCAGCAGACAATTAAAAACCCATAAAGTAATATATTTCAATTGTCATAAACAACATTAATTAACAAATAGTTAACTTATGATCCTGTCCAACAGAAAATTTTTGTTGCAAATTTTCTTTTTTACTTAGGTTCTTTTAAAGAATATATGTCTTTTTTGCTTATAATATAACTTATTTAAATATTTAATATTATATATCCGTGGTCTTTTAACATTATCTAAATAAAAAAGTAAACGTGAAAAAAAAATTTTTGGTGGAAAGGAACAAAAATTAACTATTTGTTAATTAATATTATTTGTAACCATTTAAATAAGTTATTTTTTAAACAAAAAGGACACATATTTTTAAAATGAACTTAAATTAAAAAGTAGACGTGAAAAAAAATTTTTTTGGTGGACAGGAGCATAAGTTACATAACTATTTGTTATTTAATATATTGTTTATAACAATTTAAATAAGTTATTTTTTAATCAAAAAGGACAAATATTCTTTAAATAGACTTAAATTAAAAAGAAAATGTGAAAAAAAAATTTTTAGTGGAATAGGAATCAATGTTAACTATTTGTTAATTAATATTGTTTATAACAATTTAAATAAGTTATTTTATAATCAAAAAGGGCAAATATTCTTTAAATGAACTTAAATTAAAAAGAAAAGGTAAAAAAAACATTTTTTAGTGGAAAGAAATCAAAGTTAACTATTTGTTAATTAATATTGTTTATAACAATTGATATAAATTACTTTCTGTTTTATTAATTATATGGTGGTCATATTGTATTAATTTGAACTGATTCAGATCATATGCAGCAACGGAATAAGAAAATAAGCCTCCTTTTTTGAAAAATTGTATTAATTTGTTAACTTTGATTGAAAATAAAAATTATAAACAATTAAGAACTAAAAAATTGACCTTAAGGGATGTCTTAAGAATTTATTCGCCTTTAATTTAAAATAAAGAATACTGAAACCGGTTAAGAATTGTAGGCTGTAGACAGTTTTGAACAGTAAATTGTAAAAAAAATCCCATTGTGCGCTGTTTGTAGATCCTTGGGCAAACCCGGTCTGGTCCTGGTCGGGGCCACGAAGTCGGGGCCAGATCATGAAATCCCGACCGGGGCCAGGGCGGTAATCGGGAACAAAAGTGGCGATTTCTGCACGGGTAATTAAAAAGCAAAAAGTCAGTCACTAATTCGAATTAGTAAACATTTTTACTAATTCAAATTTAGAGAGAACAATTATTGGAACTAGTAAATATTTACTTGAACCAATAATTTCGGTATTTGAAGCAAATACTGAAAATACTGAAAATTGTTTACATAAAAAATACCATTTAAATAAACAAATGTTTTGTACAAATAAATATTTATTCGATAATAGAGAATAGACAAAAGTAATTGAATATTTAAGTCAACATTTTTTTTTTTCGTGTATCCAATCAGTGAAATTTTCTTTTTGAAAGGCAAAAAAAATTTGATAATATACAACAAATAAACAATATAATTAATTATAAATCTAAGCAATAATAATTAGTTAGAAAATAATAAAATTTATACTAATAATAATTAGTAACTCTCTAAATTTGATTTAGTAAAAATTTTTACTAATTTTAATGAGTGACAGACTTTTTGCTATTGAATTAGTATATTTTACAAATAATTTAGTAGAAATTACAATTTATTAGTAAAATTTACTAATTAAATTATTAGTATTAATTATTAGTAAATTTTGCAAATAAATTAGTAGAAATTACTATTTATTAAAAAAATTTACGAATAAGTTAGTAAAAATTACTATTTATTAGTAAAATTTACGAATAAATTAGTAGAAATTATTATTCATTAGTAAAATTTACTAATTAAATTATTAGTAATTATTAAAATTAATTATTAGTAAATTTTGAAAATAAATTAGTAGAAATGACTATTTATTAAAAAAATTTACGAATAAGTTAGTAAAAATTACTATTTATTAGTAAAATTTACAAATAAATTATTAGAAATAATTATTTATTAGTAAAATTTACTAATTAAATTATTAGTAATTATTAAAATTAATTATTAGTAAATTTTGAAAATAAATTAGTAGAAATTACTATTTATTAGTTAACTTTACTAATTAAAATATTAGTATTAATTATTAGTAAATTCTGCAAATAAATTAATAGAAACTACTCTTTATTAGTAAAATTTAGTAATTCAAAAGCAAAAAGTCAGTCACTAATTCAAATTTTGTTGAATAATTTATTAGAATAATATTATTAACTAGAAACAAAACTAATGAAAATAGTAATAATCTAAAAATGAAGTTAATAACAAAAATAAAGAAAAAATAATAATAAAATAATAATAATAATAATAATAATAATAATAATAATAATAATAATAATAAATAATAATAATACCTACTAAAAATAATAATTATTTATTATTATTAATATTTTTATTTTTGATTGTTTGTTTAGGGGAAATTTTGAAAAAAAAGTTATTGCTGTAAATTTTAAAAACCATTAGTTGAAATTTACTAAAATTCAGTAAAAATTGACTACAAAAAAAATTAAACTTATAAAACACTGACTTAGATAAACATTAGTTGAAGTTCACTATAAGTTTTAGAAAGAATTGACTATTAAAAAATAGTAAAATTTGTAAAAACTAATTTAAATAGTAATTATAATTATGATTATGTTGTTAACTAATTATAATTGTGTTTAATATTTATTATTTTGGTTATTATTATTGTATTATTTTAATTTTTATTATCACGCTTTTGAATTATTGATTTTTGTAAATTTTACTAATAGAATGATAGAAATTCCTATTTACTAGTAAAATTTTTATTGTTATTATTTTTATTATTATAATTACTATTTGTTTAACGTTTGCTATTATTTTACTAATTATTATTA